CCCATTCAGCTATCGTTATCTTGTGAAATGAGAAAACAAACCACTTTTTTTTTTTATCATCACAGTTCTACATAAGAGGGCACCATGGAAATGTTCTTTGATATAACCGTGGGCATATAGGTCCAGGGTTAGATCTTTAATCCTTCTAAAACCACCCATTCAATTTACACACTTCAGACTTTGTGCAAGTAAATACATTTGTCTGTTAAATTTAGGAAACAAAAATACTTGTTGTCTTGAAAGTGATTATTAATAACAATCATGCAGTGTTATCACAGTGTCTTAAAATGCAATGTTGGTGGCATTTATAACAAAACACAATGTTGTAAAAAATAATATGGAATTTCTTTAGCAGTTTTTTCTAATTGGCACGTTGGTTTTGGAAATCTGTCTCTGCCTTTTTAAACTGCAATTCCTTTTTACTAAATTTGCCAACGTATGCACTCATACAATTGTAGTCGCAGTTTGTAATATTTCCTTTCTCGTTGTCTGTATGCATTTCTCTGAAGTGTCTCTTTATGGTTGTCAAATGTTTGATGATTATGGATTTCTGGATCAGTTCCTGTATAAAAATGTGGCCCAAAATGTCCCTGCATCATTATCACCCTTCAGTCGGTTGCCAATAATATATATTTTCTCACAGTTGGTGACAGAAAATGTTATGTTAAAATGTGATGGAATTTTAGAAAAAATAGCTTTGTAAATGGCATCTTTGGTTCTGGTGAGATGTCTTGGCCTGAGAAATCTATCATCTGTCTTGTCTGTAAGCATGGGGACAATCGGAGAGTCACATCATTAAAAAGAGGTTTGTATCGGCTATACATTAGTATGCAATGCAAACGACAAATTACAATTGTATTCTTTATCAAGATGTTTGATTATTTTTGGTTTGTACAGTGGTGCGGTTGGAATAGTGCATCTTGAATAGTGCAGGAAAGAAGCCACAGACGTTATCTATATTTTAGATCCATACTGATGAAAACGGATCATTTGAGTAAAGCTGTATATATGCTATTGTAACCTAATACAATGTTGGTACAATTATTAAAGCATGTTCTCCTTGAATAACTTGCTTCCTGCAAGGTCTTGTGAAACAAATGGGAACATGTGTATAAGAACTTGAGTCATTCACCAGAACGAGGGCCCTGAGATAAAGGAAGGCCGTTTAGAGTAAACCATTTTATTTTTTACTAGAACATTTATTTGTGGTGCCCTTGGTTTTCACACTTGAACCTTTTTTAATCAATGTGCACACACACACACACACACACACACACACTCTCTCTCTGTCTGGGAAATGGCTGCCATACTGTAGCATTGACAGGTGATTTAGTTGGCCTCTGCCTACATAGTGCAGGGGTTCCCAACCTTTATTGTGCCAAGGACCGGCAGATACATTAAAAAAAAAAATGCGGACCGGTTGTCAATTTTAACTGATTTTAATATTTACTCACCACCAGCAGGTAGCAACAGAGGCTAATTGTTTTTTTCTGAAAAACGGAAAACCAAAAAACCGACGTTATTCAGTTTTTAAACCAAAACGGCAAAACAGATAAATCAAGGTTTTGGTTTTGTTTGTATGATTTACGGATAATCCAGTGAATGCTGGGAAAATGAAGAGAAGGCGCTATGAAGGAGGTGTGTGCGTGTGTGTCACTGGCATTTGTTTTCAGAAGATATTATGATAGTGACGTTCGTTCCGGTGCACGTCCGACAGCATCGAGATTAAGATTAAACTAATTTATTTTGGGAACACCCGTATATAGGCTACCTATGGAGTTAGCCAGATGTGTGTAAATTACTGTTCATGGTCATTTGGAAACAAATGCCGGTGTCGGACAAACACAAACACACACTGAGCTGAGCAGAGCACATACACACACACACACACACACACACACACACATGCACCTTGTTCACTGGACATCTCCTTCCTAAAACTAATAAAAGGGGGAGTAATCGGGCAGTTCGATGTGTGTAGAGGTGTGTGTGTGTGGTTAACACGTAGCGGCCTGCAGTCACTCTTAAGCTGTTCTGATGAAGGTAAACACAGCGAAGGCGGTGCGTAAAAAGGCACAGCTCTTGGCGCGCTGGTGCTGCACTTCTCAGAGGCGGAGTATACGTCCCGCTGCCTCCTGATGCTGCCTGCAGCCATTTCATGAAGTGAAGGAGGTTTTCCTTCTATAAAACAGCTGCAGGTAGCAGATACTGTGAGAGTCACAGACATGAATTCATAGATCAAGGCAGAATGGTTTACTCTCCTGTTTTGCCAATCCGGTGCTTAAACAAATAGCTCTACACCCCTGGCCGACATATCCTTAAAATGAAGTCCGAGTTTGAAATATCTCAAATAATGTATGCACTGCCATTTCCCCACATAAACATAACAGTCTGCAATGAAACGGTTGTCTCCTGCTCCTCTTCCTACTTGGCGCACCGGTAACTTTCTCGTGCGCACGAGAGGCTGAGACCATGAGCCGCCGAATCCCTCGGAACATCATAAAAACCATTTTCAACGGTTTTCTGGTGAAAGATTAGCTAGGCTACTGGATGAAATAATATGACTGGTATAGGTGCGAAAATTATATTATGATAAAATATTTGTATATATTTATAATTCTGCAAATATTACGATAAACTCACAGCTATTTCGCGGCCCGGCAGTAACACGGGCCGGGGGTTGGGAACCCCTGGCATAGTGGATGCACCCTGCTAAGCTTGCTGCTTTATGTTCGTCCCAGTCTGCTCTCATTTCCTTACGCCTTTGATATTGGCCCAGAGATTGACGGTTCGCACATAAAGAGGAACACCAGACCATGATGGACAGTCTGGTGGAAACAATGGCGGTCTGCAGATGTGCACAAGTATAGTGATGGCTAGGGGGGGGTAAATTGGCCTGCAGGTCAGCAGAGTGAATGTTGCTGTTCGATTCAGAGAGAAACATGTTCTTCGCTCCGCTTTGTCTCTACCAAGGCTCTTCTGTTATCACTCCGATAATCATTAGAGCTGTCTTTTTGTTCTACACTGAACCTGAACGTAGCTCTACACTTAACCACGGAGTGGACCTGTAGCCATGACATGGTAGCACACTTTCATTATTGAGATCCGATTAGCTGCTCCTTCATATCAGTTCCACTCAACAAGGGCTGCTACAGGTGTGCTGCAGTCTGACAGGTTCGCTCACTTAGGAGCACACAAGGTTTGTTATGCTATTGCTCAGAGGCATCTGATGGAATTTAAAAACATTGTTTGTGTGGAGTATGGTTTAATATTAGCTGACTTGAGTGTGGCTGAGAACGATTCGGGACCATATTGGAAAAAAGGAAAAGCAGAGAACGGTTAATGTGGGGTGGAATCGTCATCAAATATATAAAAGTTTCATGATATTGGATTTGTTTGAATCAAAACCAATATACAAAATAACATCAGTCGATAGCATTATTGTAGGCTAAGCCAACGCTTTAAGCCTCTGAGGATCCGCTTGGTGGGTGTAATTGACGCACACAAGTTTGCTGCCGAATAAAGGTCAGAAACAAAGTTTCCAGTTTGAAACAGTCCATTTATTTCCATTTGACTGGTTTCCATTTATTGCTTCTTTCCATATTCACCACGATATTACCGTTTACACAATACCTTTGCTTTGCTTGTAATCCCGTGTTTGTGTGTGTGCTCCGTGTGTGTGTGCTCCGTGTGTGTGTGCTCCTTGTGTGTGTTCTCCGTGTGTGTGTGCTCCTTGTGTGTGTTTTCCGTGTGGTCAAAAACTGTATGGGCCTTCCGGCGGAACCTCTCACCAACACACACAGGTTCCTACCTTTATACCCACAGTTAATTGGCTCCTACAATTATTTTATTTGAAAAAGAAAGACGACAACGATTTTTGATTAAAAAAAATAAAAACCTTTTACAGAAATAAGACCGAGATATGGACATAACACGCTTACACTGGTCAGTGCTCTCTGGGACTAACTCTAACACTGTCTCATCATTCTGCTATGTGAAATGTCAGTGTGTGTGCACAACTAGGGACAAACAAAACACATTTAATAAAAGATATAATAATGAAAATAATGCTTTCTTTTTTTTTAATTCTTTATTTATTTGGGGTCACATTATTTTATAATACAAGTACAGTTTTATAATGCTTTATAATGCTTTATAATTTTATAATGAAAATAATGCTTTCAAGTTTACCCTGTACCTCCAATCTCACTGTACAGTGTACCTGGATGTGGCAAATGTACTATTTTAATGTCATTCAAAGAGGAGTAACAAATAAATAGTTTGCTGTGAATTGTTTTGGATTCTTGCAGGATGTTGAGAAAGCACTTTTCACGAATGTATGAACAACCTATTGAATTTAGCTGAATGATTTCCGATACTGCTAAACTTCCTAATAATGGACCAATCACTGAGCGCTATGCATTTGTTGACAAATGACCTCTACGTCCAGTGATGTGGTGTGCTGGAGCTTTAATCACAAATGGAGTATCAAATTGCTGTTTCATCTTCTTGATGATGAAATGAATACACAGCAGCTGAAGTTCAGGTCCATGTGTGATGTGTTTCGTGACATCTTTAAGTGAATGTGCTTTCAGTTCTTTTTGCTGCCGTTGATGTTGGGTAAGCCCACAGGTTATTTCCACTTCCCCTGATCAATAATGACCCTTCAATTAGTCTTCTGTTATTGTGAGGCTCGGAACTAACCACATGTCTGTGTAGTTGATCTTTCCATATGTGAATTTCATGCATTTTTCCTGACATTTGCCTGCCTTTGACATTTGGGTCTGAAAGTGCATGAAGCTGTTTAAATCTCACCGTGAAAGGTCAGCTTGTGATTATTAACACGGGCCGGTTGTAACCACGTCTACTTATTCTTAAGTGGATCGTGGCTTTCAGCTGCTCAAAGGCGTGAATAATGTCAGTATTACCTGCCTTATTTTCCTGTCTTGTGGCCTCTCGAAAAGAATGAATAATGAACTCTGTTGTCTCCTCTCCATCAGCCTACTCCACTGTGTCCGGTGTGAACGGACCGCTGGTGATCCTGGATAATGTGAAGGTGAGGCTTTTATTCAACTTTATATCCTCCTGGGACCCAGCCCATTGAAAATGTCCACTGTAGTGAACATTTTGCGAACATGCATCTCCTTTGACTCTTTTGAGCTACTCTATCAATCCCTGATGTTCTGTACAGAGGACATCCTGGTCTTTCCAGTGATATGTCATTGGTTAAAATTGCATGCTGGGAAGTTCCTCTTTCTTTTCATCCAAAATGGCTGGCATACCAAAAACAACATTTCATAGAAGCAGGAGGAGAAGTCAAATATTGTTGAATAATTGTAATTGTTACCTTGAAAATCATATTATGTTCTTGTTTATTAACATGTGAGGAACTATATAATTAGTTCTGAAAGCAATTAAATAATTCAAGTTTTCAAATAACAGCTCTTTTATAAATGTCCATCCTAGTGGACGTCATGGACTTCATGGACTTAATGAATCAATATTGTTGCAGGAGACGGAACTGAAGCAGACATTTTCTGTACCAGATAGTTCAGGGAGATTCAGATGTTGAGCTCTCAGATGATGAGGGATGAGGATTTCACACCTGGGATAGAAGAGGGTCAAGAAGAAGGGGGGGGGAAGATGCAGGAGGCTCCATGAGCGCACAGATACAGACATAGAGACAGATAGGGACGAGCTGGAAAGACATGGCCCCCTGTGGGCCAAGAGTAGCACGTATGTCTCATGCCCCTTTCACACCAGCGCTTTTTCAGCTCCGGCTCGGAGCTGGAGCCTGAAAAGCACCGGTTTTTCCTGTTCACACCGCAGCGGCGCCGGCTCTTAGCTCCGGAATCCGGTTCACTTCCAGCTCCAAAAGATTGTCGGTCTAGAGCAGGGGTGCCCACACTTTTTGGGCTGGTGAGCTACTTTTGAAATGACCAGCTCACCGAGGTCTACCAACCAAAAATAAAATCCCAAATTGCAAGGGTTGCTGAATAACACGTTTTATTTATACATGGGATAATAGGGCTGCAACAAACGACTCATTTGATAATCGATTAATCTATCGATTAATGAAACGACTAATCGACTATTCGGACTATTACTGTATGCCTTGCACAATTTCTCAAACGCTCTTATTTAGCCATCAACTTTTAGATTTAGCTTGAGGTTGTTTTAGGCATGTGGAAACTAACAATGAAGACAATAAAGATGAATACTTGATTCAAAAATACATATATTATTAAATAACAAATTGTTTACCAAATTAACATTGCTTTTTATTTAAATTAAATAAATAATATTTCACATCAAAAGAAACAACAATGTTTTAACAAATCGTATTAAATAATGTGATGACAGAACTGTAAACAGAATAGCTGAAACTTTAACAAAATAAATAACTCAGTTTCCTCTAATCATTAACCTGTGTTTGTATAATGTAGCTAACTCCGTGTGTTGCTGCTAGCATACATAACACCTGACGGGGAAACGTTACTCGTGGACGGGGCTACAGAGCTGCTAGAAAGACAGTTGAACCCGGTGCATTCCTCCGTCTGGATGTGGAGCGCTTTTGCTAAATGTTTAGACACATTGCTCGTGTTACCGCCCTCACATGCTGAACTCTCTTGGCAAGGAGCATTGTCCACCTCAAGACGGGTAACATGTAACCTCACCTTGGAGCGCTTCTCTCCGCCATCTCCTCCGTGTGTTGCTGCTTGTAGCAGCCGCGTGTGTGTAAACTGCCCCGCCCCCTCGCGCACAGACGGGGGAGAGAGAGATCTCGTCTCGATTGGAAAGATCAAAAATACACCGACATTTGTTTGTCTTTTTGCATGTTAGAAACGAGTTGGCGACACTAAGACTGCGAGATAATGTTTGTGTAGCAATAATACAGACCTTTCTCTTTCTCAACTCGCTACTCGGAGGGAAGTCGCTGTCATATGCCTGTGAACACTCCGATAATGCCTCTCCACGTTACCTTTCTTTGGCAGAGCGACGCTTGCTTTACAAATAAGGCAAATAACCTTTGAATGTGACATCACAAACAAATATTCTTCCTCCCATTCTGGGTGGAAGTGGTTTGTCTTTAGCTTCTTGCTCGGTCCCGCACTCATTTTGTTGTTTGTCTCTTGTTAGTCTCTTTAACTTAATTTGAGTTTTCCCGGCACTTGACTGATTTTGTATCGCTTTGCATTCTGGGTTAACAGACTGGAAAGCGATAGGTCGCTTTTTCTGTCAATCAAGTAAACTCCTGAATTAAGTGGCAGGGAGGCCAAGGGAGGAGGGATCAAAAGCTGTTTTGTCTATTTTATCGGAACTGGATTTTTTTTTTATGAATGACTCGCGATCTACCAGCATTGCCCTCGCGGTCACCCGCGGTCGACGTACTGGGCACCTCTGGTCTAGAGGCAAGAGCTTCGGAGCTAAGAGGTGGCGTCGCTTACGTCTCTCTTACGTCGAGGCGTGCAGGAAACTAAACCCACCTCCCCTGAACATGGGTCGACTGTCATGCCTGCCTACAAGCAGTAGTGCTTATAAACACACTTTATAAAGTCAGGCAACACTAACCAGGCTTCGTGTGATTCTGTTTATTTGTACCTTACTTTGACCATCCGTTCACTGTTATTGATCATTGTGGAGAGAGGCAGACGTTTTGTTTTGTATTATAGCAGCTATCGGATGGAATCAATACATGGGCTGCACAGGTTGTCGTGTCCGACTATCACAAGTAGAATCATAATAAAAATACGCCTGTAAAATGTGCCTGTAGAAAACGGTTTATGCCACAATATGATAGCAATAGCAAGTAGTCAGTTTAGCTTCGGTTGCTATGCTAACAGCACCCATTTTATACCAGAGAAACTTTCATAACAGCGTTGTGATACCAAACAGCGTCAATTCAGACTGACACACATTCACTTAGGCTAAGGGGAACTGGGGATATGTATCAGCTGCTTGTGTGAGTCGGACAAGGAATACTTTAGAGCGGCCGCTGCAGTGTGAGCTAACCGTGAGCTAACGGAGGAGAATAAACTCCCGTGGAAGAGCAGCGGTCGGTAAATGCTGCAGAAACACATTAATAAACAATGAACCACGGCACTCTGGAGCAAAGTATAAGGTTGGAGAAGTCGTTATTCAATTTATTCTGGCTTCGTGTGATTAAAAGCAACACGATCATCGACCCGACGCAGTTCCCCGTTGTTGTGAGCGCCGTAATGCCGTTGGGGAGCAAATCAGCGATGTAAACGGTGACGTCATGACGCAGCAGCGGCAGCACCAGTCGGGCTCTGGGCGGTGTGAACAGAGCGGGAGCAGAAAAGGGAAACCGGAGCTGAACCAGAAAAGCTCTAGCTCGGAGCTAGAAAGGGAAAAGCGCTTGTGTGAAAGCCGCATTATTGTTGTTTTTATTTTAAGTGGAGCCATGAAAAATGAGAATTGCCTCAGGAATGCAAGCTTTGTTTCTATGAGCAGGTCAAATGGAGACCACATCCATAAAACTAGTCAAGATGACCCTACAGCCCGTGCTGACTGGAGTCAATGAGGTACTTTCCCACTACATCGACTACAAAGTCTTTGAAGATCTGGAACGATTCACCAAAAAACAAACTAGTTTTTATTGATTTTTTAGTCATGATTTAGTTTATTACTACTACTGGTCTAAAACTGTTAAAATGTATTAAAGAGGGCCAATGTACTAGTATATCATATATTATATTATCATGATGCATTTGCAGATGTACTCTTGTTTTAAGTATATTAGGGTCGTTTTCAGGCAGTTGTGGTGCAATACTGTGACTTGGCACATTCCCTGTATATTACGTTACATTTCATTTGGCTGATGCTTTTATCCAAAGCGGCTTCTAATAAGTGCAAAAACCATAGAGATTCAAACACTGAACAACACGGGAAGTGCACATATATTCACTTTAAGCTAGTCATACCATTGTAAGTGCTGGTGAATCAGTTACCAGGCTAACTCTGGCAGTGATGGAGTAACAAGCCGATGGGTACAGTGCACATGCTGGAGGGTATGCTTTAACCAAGACCCACATTTCTGCACAAAGCTACCAGTTCAAACTGCACAGCTCTTTCACTTCAAATGATGTTATACTTCAAAAAAATGTTCTTCAGAGTAACTTGTCATGTTCTTTTTCTTACTTTTTATTTTGTATATTTATATTTCTTTAAACATCTTATTTTATTATGTAACACTATTTTTTTAAATATTGTTTACAATGGTTCTATGTTAATATTTGCTGCTTTCTTTTTTACAAATGATTTATTCTTCCAGTGCTTATGTGTTCTGACTCTGTGCTGATCTCCGGACTAGTTCCCCAGGTACGCTGAGATTGTTCACCTGACCCTGCCGGACGGCACCAAGAGGAGCGGGCAGGTTCTGGAGGTGATCGGGAGCAAGGCCGTGGTCCAGGTGAGGAACACGATCCAGATGTGCTGGCTGGTGTTTGAATGAATCCACAGCTGGAAATAGTCCACATCAAATTCAAACTTGATTTGTCCTGGGGGAAGGTCCATTGCAACAGTTGCAATACAAAGTGGAAGGAGAACAACAACAATGAGCAAATTCTAAATGAATGATATACCAGATAACAGGATGCATCACAAAATATAAACAGGCCAGTTTTGAGTAATACTGTGTCTTATAGGATTTTTCCACAAGAACATGAATTTTAAACAAATAATTAGCAATCATTTCTCAAATTGCTCTTTCGTCTTCATAAGAAAATGGCTGCTTGGGCTGTACCTTGCATTACTGCGTGACTACATCAGCCCAGAGAACTCTCTGTTGTCTTAGTGGCTGATAACATTCCTCCAGATACATTTTTATGAAATGCCCTACTGTTATTATTAAATGGATCCTTAATCCTTAAAAAGTTGGCCTCAAAGTGACGTTACAAAATGTTGGTGTACACAAATTCAGAGAAACGGCACATCTGAAAACTGCTCTCTCAAGTTTCACGTTAAGCAACAATCGGCAAACACATTTCTCAGTGCAGGAGGACTGTGTCTTCAGTCGGACTCAATGTGTACAGTAGGTCAAAGGATTCAAGAAATCACAAAGTTATTGTTTTGGCTCTACTAAAGTTACTAAATTGTTCAACCTAATCTGAGTACATAAAAAAGGACATCTCATCAAATAATTGGATGTGTCTTCAACTAAAACTTGAAAGGATAGCAATGACACTAAAACTAACTTTGTATTTTGTGTATATATATATATCGTAAAGTATTTTAGTTGAACAGTTTTGTATCTGAACCGTGCGTTTGTTTGTTCAGGTGTTTGAGGGAACATCAGGTATCGATGCCAAGAAGACGGCCTGTGAGTTCACTGGTGACATCCTGCGCACCCCCGTGTCAGAGGACATGCTCGGTATGATCAACCTCATTTCTCTTTGCATATTTAATCCTTATTCAGAAATAACATTCTAAGAATTAAAGTAAATAATGTTGTGATCAGCTGCACAGTACCCTTTCATTCTTCTGTGTTTGCACCACAAAGATGTGGAGTGTACTTTAAAGTGTTATGCTGCAGTTTTCCCTCAATATGCTTATTTGTACTTATGTTTTCATTGTACCCATATTTCTGAATATTCTTGAGCGCTCAATCAGTGCGATTATCTCAGTACAGAACAAGGTTAAATGTATTTCAACAGCAGTAGAAAGTAAACCTGCTTTTGTTTCTGAAGTATCATTAATCATGTCCATGAAATTATAATTACTTGTACTTGTTACTTGTAGACTCGACAAGAGCCATCAGAGCCACTCTGATGTGTTTAGAGTTTGATACAAAGCAGAATAGATCAGATGTGGATGGAAGCGTCATCTAATGAATTTCATTCTATCCGTTTCTCAGTCATTATGCTTGAATTCAGCCCTACTGATAAACCAAATGGTAGTTATTTATCGAATAAAAGACTATCTACTTGGCTCAAAAAGACTCTTCCTCTTTCAGGGCGTGTGTTCAACGGCTCAGGCAAACCCATCGACCGCGGGCCCACCGTCCTGGCTGAGGACTACCTGGACATCATGGGTACGACCCCCCCGGTCTTCACAATGCTCTGGGGCCTCATTTATAATGCTGTGTGTAGGATTCACGTGGGAAGGTTGCTTACGTAGTAGAAATCCAAAAAATAGGTACAGAAATGTTCCAACATTTTCCGATTCACCAAACATTGCGTACCGGCGAGGGAAGTGCGTACAGCACTTCCTACGCCGGTTTCCCTTTATAAATCACAACCGACTCGAAATGCGGTGCAGCTTTTGCGGGCTTCACGTAACGCCCATATTTGCCTATAAATAGTCAAAAATGGTTAGAAAAAAGAAAAAGAAATCATCATTTGAAAAATTATTGATTCTAAAATAATATTGTGTGTGTGTGTGTGTGTGTGTGTGTGTGTGTGGGGTGTGTGTGTGTGTGTGGTGTGTGTGTGTGTGTGTGTGTGTGTGTGTGTGTGTGTGTGTGTGTGTGTGTGTGTGTGTGGTGTGTGTGTGTGTGTGTGTGTGTGTGTGTGTGTGTGTGTGTGTGTGTGTGTGTGTGTGTGTGTGTGTGTGTGTGTGTGTGTGTGTGTGTGTGTGTGTGTGTGTGTGTGTGTGTGTGTGTGTGTGTGTGTGTGTGTGTGTGTGTGTGTGTGTGTGTGTGTGTGTGTGTGTGTGTGTGTGTGTGTGTGTGTGTGTGTGTGTGTGTGTGTTTCTCAACAACAAAGTGGAGGAGAGTCCTCTCCTGTCAGACTGAGAGACTCAGTGAGCTACTGTAAAGGAATCTCAGTGGGTCTCAAATGTTTTGGTCACCATTAATGTAAACAATTATTTCCGAGGCACACGTTTATATGATCATTATAGTTATAAAAAAATAAGAGAATAAATGAAAAACAGCTATGAAATAGACTATATGACAGTAAAATAAGAATAAAGTTTAAAAGGGTGATTTGTAAAATATCCATAAAGTAAATCTGTTTACAGTTCTGTTTCAAATGGGTGTTGAGAGAGGTATCCATAGATCTCTTCATTTTGCTCTCAAAGTGCACCAGATTGATGCTTTCAACTTCAATATTTAGAAATAAATCTTCCCGGAGGAGCTTGCCCCCGGACCCCACTATGTGAGGTCCACACACCACCTATAAAAATAGCACTTGACCCCTGCTTACACCTATATGCCGTGAGCTGATTATCGAGCCTTCATTGTGACAGTCGCGGGTACACTGTGTATGTGCGTGTGGGGAGTGTTGCAGTAGAACATTCCTCTGTAGCGCCCGGTACATTAATGGGAAACCCTAGATGTTTGAGCACCCTCTATGAAACGTCAAGCTACCCCACAGCACCGCCAAAAGAAATCTCTGGCGCCGCCACTGAGCCTGACTATTTGTGTTGGGGGGGCCCGACTTTTTTTTTTCTCCAAAGGGGGGCCTGACAGAAAAAGTTTGAGAACCACTGGGTTAAAGGAAATACAACTAATGTGTTGTGTTATATTAGCTGTACAATTTACCACATATGGTGTTCTTAGTTTCCATACCTCCTGTGTTTTACGAGCGACTTATCAAGTCTTGGCAAACGGCATACAACATGATTAAACATGGTAGTATATAAAACCATGCTCGTATCTACAACCTATATAAATGCAAAACCGCGTCATTTATGAGAAAACATTTCATAACATTAACACAACATATTCGAGGTGGTTTTAAATAACATATCCGTATTTATTTATTTCTCCAAGTTATGTGTTTGTGTGCACTGAGGAGTCTCAAACAGGCGTTTGTTTAATCATTTTAAGATTGGCTTTAATCAATGTTTGAAAATGAATTCTTCCTATATGATAAATGAGAGGTAACATTTTATTTATGGTATTATTTCCACATATTTCTCTCCATTCTTCCTTCTGCCAACGGTGTCGCAGTTTCTCGTCTCTCCCGTTGTTGTGCTTAGTGCGTACGCATGGGTTAGAGTTTGCGTGGAGGACCGCACGTTTTCCCGTCAAGTTAGTATTTTATAAATCGCAAACATTGCGTAGAAACTGGCGTACGCCATCTTTTGAGCGTATATCGCTTTATAAATGAGGCCCCTGAGCTGGACAGATGTCTTAACAAGAGAGCTGCGCCTTCATACAAAAATGAAATAAAAAGAAAATGCCGTTTAAATTAGCAAATTCCCCATAGAGTATGAAATGGGCAAATCACTATTTTCACATATAGATAATAGAATATAGATTTCAGGTAACTTCCCATGAGAATAAGGTTAAATCAAAATTCCTGACTACTTGTGTTCGTTCTCCTGTCAAATCTGTTTTGCTACACGGCAACATGTGACAGTAACACTGAATCATGAAAAGTGACAAGTAGGGGAATTTGGATACACATTTCTGGCTACATTATTAATCCTGTTTACTGAATAATATACAATGTTTGCCAAATTTAGACCATTTTATTCAGGCTGTTTTTGTGTAGCAAAAGCTTCCACGTTTTGGAACTTAAAAAAAACAACTTAAACTAAAGAAATATGAATTTGGTAACTGAACTAAAAGTCGGGTATCGTAAATCTTCACACACATTTGGGACCTTGCTAGCCACAGGGAGCCTGCGAACACTACAGAGTATTATTTATATATAAAAAAAGATTGGCCACTGTACAGCAATGTGTCTTATAGCATTTGAGTTGTCTACTTTTAGTCTGATTTGGTCTTTATATTAGAATTTTAGAGTTTCATACTTATTAATTTCACAGTTGCTCTACACCTACTCGGATTCTAACTGCCACCTCCAAAGCTTCCTCCCAGGATCTTTCCAACCGTTTTCTTTCAACACAAGTTGCAGTTAACGATTTGTTATAAATATTGTATTCATTGAACTGAAATCTCCTAATTATGAACAGGATTCCTCAGTGACTGGTGTAATTGATCCGTTTCTGTGTTTTCCAGGTCAGCCCATCAACCCTCAGTGCCGTATCTACCCCGAGGAGATGATCCAGACGGGCATCTCAGCCATCGATGGCATGAACAGCATCGCCCGAGGACAGAAGATCCCCATCTTCTCTGCTGCTGGGCTGCCCCACAACGAGGTGAGACCACAGCTTCATTTCATCAGCTTCAGGATCACACCCACCAGTGCCTTGTTACCAGCTTCCTGGGAATCTTTTCTGCATGACTTTAAGTATTATCAGAAGTACAGCAGTTCAGCTTTAATTTAATACGTGTTTTGTCCATTCATGTATTAGCTTCAAATTACAAATGTATGTTTTTACATAGAGTATATATTAGTGCTGTAAAAATTATCGCGTTAACGGCGGTAATTAATTTTTTGAATTAATTGCGTTAAAATATTTAACGCATTTAACGCATGTGCAGAATGGCCCGCCCCATACATCCCACCAGTGGCAGCGCCAGGGTATGGCTGGGGTAGGCTACACCCATACCAAGAAATGGCTTAGCCCCACCATGAAAAATGATGTTAAAGTAAGCGAAATAAAATCTGCCAACTCGCGCGGAGTAAATTGCACAGACAGCAGTTAGTAAGATTGATTTCAGTAGCCACGGTTTTGAAAACTTTTGTCACGTAGTGATCGTCTTCTCAATAGAACATCTTTGATAACGGCGTGGTGTTGTTGCAGGAAGTCCCGACGGAGAATACTTTTGCTGTAGTACAGGGGTGCACATAACTGGTACGCAGGTTATGTGCGTAATCTGAAATGCGTACCGTCACCTGTGTCACAAAGCGCATTTGCGTACCGACGTACTTGTGAAGCTTTTCCAGAAGGCGGTTAGATCACCGGACGACAGAGTCGGTCTCCGTGTGCACAGACAGGGCTGCTGTTAACGTCGGTCTGTACAACGGAATTGTGCCAAAACTACGCCAACCGGCTGCGGAGGGAGACTCCTCCCCTTCACTGGAGAACTGCGCTAAAACAGCTGATCACAGCGTTCACACTCTGTGGTCACGAAGTACTCCACTAGCCCCCACCCCCCGTCGACTTTCCTGAAGTACTCCCCCGTTGATAGAAATCAACACGTAATGAATTAAGACCCCACGGTTTGATGATTGATAGGTGTGTGGGTTGTCTTTCATTTTGACACGCAGAAATGTTTTATAATAAACATAGATACTGTATGTTAAATGGATATATCCGCCTTCTTTCATTTATCTTTCCATTCCCACAACAATATACATAAATAAATGGCATATTTTGGACATAGTTCGAATGGTGATTAATCATGATTAATTAATTTTTAAGCTGTGATTAATCTGATTAAAAATGTTAATCGTTTGACAGCCCTAGTATAAATATAACAAGAAAAACTATCATCAAATGCCTTTTTTAATAAAAGCACATCTTTTTTAGGTAATGTAAAAAATACATATAATACAAGTAATACATATATAATATTATAAACATAATGGAATGTGAAGTGGCTCGGCTTCCCTCTGGAGCTCTTTGTGCTGCAGGCTGCATTATCCGCTGTAAGCATTTCACACCTGATCCTATATATATCCAGGCGGCCAGGTTATGACGAAGAATGGCGGATAAAATAGACGATTCTGCAGCATCGATGTGGACTCTTTTCTTTTTTCACAGTTCCAACATTTTCACAAGAGTGCAATACTATGAGAAGAGTAATAATGCAATCTTTACCTGGAGTTACTGTGTGATTTGTTGTTAGTTATTTCTATGTGGATAACTAGCCAAATGTAGCTGTATGTCGTTATTGCTCTGCCACTATTGAATCAAATCCCAGGAAATGTCAAAGTGCAGTGGCTTTCAACAGTCTAACAACTCCAAGCAGCAATCCATCAAACAGCAGCCCCCTCTCCACTGCTCTGAGCATGCATTATAGTTGACATGAAGACAGTGTAAACGGCAGTAGATTGTCACAAAATAACCCCTCAACTAACTCAATGCCTCATTTGCTCAAATGTAAATACAATCCTTTTTTTTAATTTGTTCATAATCATTTATTAAGCTACTGGCCAGTGTGCGAAAAAGTACACGTCCCACCGTCCGGGACGTGTTATTTACAATATCGGACAAGTAGATCTTTCAATTGACTTGTCCGGCGGACAAGTGACGGTTTTCACCCTCATTTATTGACAAATTATTGATACATTCAGTTTACAAAAGGCAGAACTCATTCGCAAATTGTACGTGTCCGCCATTGTTCGTTTAGAAATGTTAGTTTCGGTTCTGCTTGTCGATTCCTAAGGAAATGTATCTCGCCGCTTTCTGTACAGTTAGAGGGAAGTGTAGCACAGTGGCAGGGTTGGGAAGCAAAACTCGGTTCCGAGTAGGAACAAATAACAATTGTCCGGTCCCGGGATTAATAAGAGTTGTGAGGACAGGAGGCGAGGCCGAGCCCCGCGGACTGCAGCTCTCTCTATGCTCCGTATCAGCTGATCGCTGCAGGGTGCAGCTCAGTCTCTCTCTCTCTCTCTCTCTCTCTCGCTCTCTCGCTCTCTCGCTCTCGCTCTCTCGCTCTCGCTCTCTCGCTCTCTCGCTCTCTCGCTCTCGCTCTCGCTCTCTCTCTCCCACACACACACAGCGGCTCCGCTGCCCGTTTAACAGCCTCATCTTTGTCAAACTTTCTTATGTTCTTTCTCTAACACGTAATGAAGGTTATTAAGCGTTTTAGCTCCTGTGTTGTTAATATCGACCGCCATTTGCTTTATGAAGTGAAGCAGCCTCCCTGTCTGTGTCCTCGCGCTGTCCTCACATCCCCGGACCCCCAGACTCGGAGGAGCACAGGGATGTCAGTATTGTTTATGAAGCAGGGTATAGAAAGTACATTATTGAAATGAAAATACTATTTATTTACTTTTACAAACAGTGAGCAGCTGGGCAGCTGCAGCATGTGTATTACAGGACATGTGTAAGCGTGCAAGCGTCTTTGAGTTGTAGAAAAGCGCTAGGCCTATAGGCTATAAATCTAATGTATTATTATTAGGTTATGTCCTATGTGTTGGACATGTGTGGTTGGACTGTATCTCACAGGCAGGTTGCAGTGTAACATCAGAGGAGACTGGGCCAATTGTACATTCTCAAACTGCACCACTTAGAACTAACTAAACAATGCAGAGATTATATATAATTGTATTCAATAACCGTAAGAAATTCAACAGTATGAAGTTATTTGTAAATATTTTTCTCCCAGTTTGTCATGGGACTTATTTGTACCCTCTCAAAGAACCGGAATCGAGAACCGAAAATAACCGGAATCGAAAAGCAGAACCGGGATCGTTAAAATCCAAACGATACCCAACCCTATGTGTGATGCAGTAAAATCTTACCGCTCACTTACGTTAGCGGTGTCGTAAAAACCGTGGGAAAATGTAAAATAAGATGATGAAGAAGAAGATTCCAGTGGCCCCAATTTTTGTCCATTCTGGACAAGTGAAACATTTATTCGGACAAGTAAATTGCCAAACTCACTTGTCCATGGACAAGTACTCTCTAAAACTTTTTCTCACACTGCTGGCTAACTGACAGTAAACTAAGCTTCTTCTAATATTCCTGGAACTGTGCATGCATGCATGTTCCCAAGGTCAACAATGAACCTCCATGCTCAAATGGAAATACATTTTTCAATATTTCCACTTGGAGTGCCAAAATCTAAAGATAAAAGCTTTCATATCATTTAGTTTTTATTTCTGTGGCTGCCTCCGTGGAAATGCTTAACATTGATGACTCAGCTCCTTCATGTGGGTCAGCTGTCTCCCAGTGTCACATGACAACAATTGGACTTCTGCTTCCTCCTTAGGGTTTTCATGCCTCACAATGGAAATATATGACTCAGTTTTACCATAAAGTATATTTTTTTACAAACTACAATATAATGTTGTTTAAAAGCGTTTCAGGTAAAGTCAGAATGTCCTAGTGAGTGGCCATACTTAAAGAAGTGAAACATGAATTACACAAAGAAGAAATAACCTGTGTTTCTGGGATTTGTGCTTCAAAGCAGCTGTGCCTGTATTTCTCTGGCTTCTGCTCCAGCATCTGTTTCCATCTTGGTGACGTACAGTTTGCTGCAGAAAGCCAACGAGATCAGGTCATACTTTCCAGATAAACACATTTTGTTTGGCACCATACGTTAGTTTAAGTAGGACAGCTTTGGAAATCTTTTCATGGCAAATAAACAATGGCCCAAAAAAAACAATATTGAGTGATTCAATCTACTGAAGCACACCTTCACAAAGGAGGTTTCTTGAGTTGTGGCCCATTGGCTGGGCTAGATGCTCTTCAGATGAAGTAAGGGGCTGTAGAAGTGTTGACCTCTGTATTTCTGTTTCGCTCGTTCAGCCCTGTACACATCAATGCTCAGGGACTACATGTCATGCTGAGCGACTGTCGATATGGTATTTGTTTCAGGGTTTTTTTGTAGTTGTTTTGATATCCACTATGTTTGAGTTATGACAGCTTTTATTTGAAATCCCAATGTTATTCTATGTTAAATAAATAAGCATTTATTAGCTCATTGGATGTTTGTTTTTTTAAATAAGTATATTTGGGGTTTTACTGTTTTCTTCTCTGAGACAAATGTATTGTTAAAATGTAGCGAAGCCAGAAAACAATGTAAGCTTTTAAGAAAGTAAAGGGAAAAATATATTTAAACATTTTTTAAACGGTTATTCTTCAGGACTTTGCTGAATTGGACCATTTTGGAGTGGTTATTGAGAATGCTGAATCCATTTCTGATTTATTCACCATCAAAGTTTTCACCAGAAAGTGGACATATCTGTACCCTCTGTGGGCTGTTTTCGAGTAGGTTTGTGACCATTGGATATAGAGAGCACAAGATCAACATTTGTATCTCTACTGTGGACAATTTTCTTGCAAATAAATAAGCAATCTGTCCAATCCAAATGATCCAGAGTCCCCTAAATCTGCCAAATCGACCACAAATGTGTCAAAATCCGCCCACAGGAAGAACAGATATGGCCACTATCTGGTTAAAACCAGATATGTTCTGATTCAGATTCTAAAAATGTCTGAAATGGACTCGGAATAACCCCCATTCAGACCAAGCCATTTTGTTTTACAATTGTCCACATAGGCTATAATGGTAATTGATGTAACTTGTGCTAATTGTGAAAATTGCCCAATGTATGCAAGTGAGCATCCGGCAGTTTCTATGTGCTGGAGACCCCACTATACATTTCTAACATAAAACGTTGGTGTACTCAAAATGTCCCGGCTTCACAATAGGACTTGCAACTACACTTTTACAAGTTTGTGTTATGAGCGTTAGTCAATCCCACTTAAAAACCCCAAAGTTTCCTACTGCGGGGCCGTGTGGTGTCCCGCTAATGATGAGCCGCTTGCATGCCATGGGATGGTGTGAAAACTTGTCTCATTGTTTCATTAAGCACATGTCAGAGAGGTCATGCATGCTGCTCTCCTCTATGGGCCAGGTGCTGGACTCAAGGTGCTGGACTCAGGGTGCATGCAGAGGTCAGGCAGAGGTCAGGCAGATCAACCCCGCAGCCATGACTTCATGTGATGAGCGTGAAATTCCTCTTTCCTTCCACAAATCCATCAAGTAGAACACCAGCTCTTCACTATGCACCAGTTATTAGTTTCACTAAAGCATTGGGTTGTGGTCAGAGATGTCAGAAGTACCCAGATCTTGTACTTAAGTGAAAGTAGAGTATACTCTATGTAATACTCTGTTACAAGTAAAAGTCCTGCTAAAGTATAGGCATCCAAGTACACTTAAAGTATCAAAAGTGAAAGTAGTCATTGTGCAGATTGGTCCATTTCAGAATAATATATATGATATGTTTTATAATGATTGATCATTAAAGTGTTCTCAAAGCTGGTAAAGGTGCAGCTAGTTTGAATGACTTTGTATACTGCAGGGTAGCTGGTGGATTTACTCCAGGTGGAACTAAAGTCTGATTCAACACTTGATTAGATTTCACATCATTCATCCACATCTGTGAAGTAACTAGAGGTATTAAATACATGTAGTGGAGGAAAAGTACACCATGTACCTCTGAATTGTGGTGGAGTAGGAGTACAAACTAGCTCAAGTAAAGTACAACTATCTCAAAATTGTGCAATGGGTACAGTACTTGAGTAAATCTACTCAGTTGTTTGGTATTTATAGAATACTTTAATCATCTACTGATAATCTAAATGTGTTTCATTGTTAACTTATTACAATACATTGATCTACAAGTAAGTATTGGAATAGTAAACTGACTCCAAGCCCATTGGTTGGTAATGAAGATAATGCCTTCAATATTTATTCCAAAATGAAAATATGCAAGGCGAGAAGGCAAACGTATTATTCACATTCCCCCACACATGCATGTTTGTTCTTTGAGTTGACATCCAACATGTACCTAAAGTCTTGACTGTGTTTTCTCAGATCGCTGCTCAGATCTGTCGTCAGGCCGGCCTGGTGAAGAAGTCCAAGGATGTGATGGACTACAGTTCTGACAACTTTGCAATTGTCTTTGCAGCCATGGGGGTAAGCAGAAAAACTGCAGCGTTCAGTTGACACTTGTTCAGAGCCCCTCCCCCCCTCCCATTTGTGTCTAATCCTCCTTTAAACCCTGGCAGACACCCTGTCCCTTCTCTCCCGCCCTGCTTTCTGTCTTTTATTCACCAGGTGATTTAACCTTTAAGTCCCTCTTGTTACTTCTGCACCTCTGAGCATATCCCCGGTCATGAACACAGGTTACTAATTCAACAGGTCCTTTAACGCTGCCAGACGAGTATCAGGTTCTCTGCTCCTCAGCTGCCCCTCACTCTGCTATAATTCCCTCAATTGTGACAGGTTGACCTCTACCACACACACACATTCACACATTCACACATTCACACACACACACACACACACACACACACACACACACACACACACACACACACACACACACACACACACACACACACACACACACACACACACACACACACAGATTTGCTTCACTTGCTTAGTAATAATCCCCCCTCTTCCTCTACTTCACCAGTTCACATCTGGTTGTGGAGAGTCTGTGTTAATAGGGATTCACACATGGATATACATTTATAAAAAAGACACAGTGTAACCAGTAACTTCAATGTATCTGTTTATTGGTCAAAAAGTTTCTCTAGACTCTTGCAGTAGGAGCTGTGTGTTTTTATTTTTCTTATTTTTAGACAGTTTATGACAACAAATCTCAGAGTCAAGACATTTGTCAAGAAGTGTAACTATTTTAAAATCATTGCTGGCTATTTGAATAATTCTAAGAGCTTTCCATCAAATGTAAAAAAAGGATCCAAAGGGAGCTTTTGTTAAATAAAAAAGATTGTATTGAGGTTTTGGGTGAACCTTTTAATGTTTGACTCTGTATCGTTAACGTGTATCCTTTGTGTGTCAGGTCAACATGGAAACTGCCCGCTTCTTCAAGTCTGATTTTGAGGAGAATGGCTCCATGGACAACGTCTGCCTTTTCCTCAACCTGGCCAACGACCCCACGTAAGATCCAATCAGAAAGGATCTCAATGAGACAGTGTTTAGCTTACTTATTGATTCTGAATTATGTTTTTTACATTATGTTTATCGTCTTAACATTCTTAAATGTATCGCTAGTCTTTAAAAGACAAGTTGGAAACACATTTAATTCCTCAAGTTGT